ACTAACAGTTCATTACTCTAACTTTTTTAGCTGCTATTGACTCACTCTAATTCCTTATTTTGCTGCATTTTTTGGTAATATGCTTGCACAAAGCACTCTGGCTCGTCATCTGTGTTGTAACCTTTCAAGGCATTTTCTACATCTTCCTTGATTTTGTGTTTGAGCTCAAAATAGATATGATAATAGCTTCAGAAAGGGGAAGAAAAAGGACGTTTGAGAGACTAACCAAAGATACTAAATTTTCCAATCGTCCCCTTGCCATATATCCTAACATGGGTATGTGATACATAATAGGGAACATCTGAGCAAGCAATATCAATTTGCTTTCTCTGAAAATTACAAATTAATTTAGGAATGCCCTTTGGCCTTATCAAGGCTAAGTACTCACTTTAAACCGTCTATAATAATGTTTATTTGATCTACATTTGCCATCAAAGCATCGCTATCGTTATAGCTGTAGCTAAAGCCGAATAAGGTTTTGTTGATGATATTCGCAACAAATACCTGAAAAATCATTTTATATGCAAATTAATTTATAGCAAAATGCTGTTGAAAAGTAGTAGCGACTAGTTCTAGATTTGAAAAAGATTCCTTTATATTGCATTTTCAGCCTGCAAGTCTTTTTGAACTGTTTCCTTTTGGAAAATGCGCGACATCAAGGGGCATGTTTGCACAAAGGATTTTGGGTTGTAACGTATAACAATTAGGCTTGATATATATGTTAAAGTCTCATTTTCTTCGAAATTGAGATGATTTATATTTGCCTGAATCGGATGTCGAAGATTTATTGCTTCCTTGTTTTTGATGGATTTCATATGAGCCAGAAACTCATGAGCAGAAAGAAGAACCTGAAATAAAAGACGATACTTTTCCTTCCAATTTTATGAAAATTAAACTCAAAATTCGCATTAAGATAATTTTTTTCGATTTTAATTTCTATGGGTTGTACCTGTTCTTCCATAAGATTTTTTCCCATTCCAAAATCTCTCAAAATATGTAATGATGTTCTTCTTTGCTCTTTCCAATTGTC